TCCCGCAGGCCGCCACAGGCGCAGCTCGGCACCCCCAGCTCTCCCCGCGCACGGACAGCCTGACGGACGCACGGCCCTCGGGCCGGGATGGTGGGGCCCGGGACCGCTGCGGCGGCGCGCTGGACTCGGGAGGCTGAGCTGGAGCGTCGCTGGGAGAGCTTGGTGGCGCGCTCTCTGGCACGCCTGCCGGTGGCATCGCAGCCCAAGGAGGCGGCCGTCCAGAGCGGCGCCGGCGACTACCTGCTGGGCATCAAGCGGCTGCGGCGCCTCTACTGCAACGTGGGCATCGGCTTCCACCTCCAGGTGCTCCCCGACGGCCGCATCGGCGGCGTGCACGCGGACACAAGCGACAGTGAGTGGGGCTGGCCGCGTGGGAAGGGTTGGGGCCAGGGGCAGCGGCCGCCCCTTCCAACTCACTCAACCACACACGGAGGATCCGAGCGGGCACCTGCTCGCAGGCCCTGGGAACTGGGGCGGACTCGGGTTCCGGTCCCTCTGACGCCGGGACGCAAACACTTGGTTTAGCAGTCGCCGCAGGAACCCGCTTTGCGCACCCCGCGGCCGAGCCCCGCCTCCCCGCCTTCGGAAGGCCGGGCACCGGGCGCTTCGGAAGCCCGGGCTTCGGGTGCCGAATTCCAGCGCTTTAGCCCGTGGGCACAGGGCTCGCCGCACAGCCTCTGGCGCCCGCGGGGGCTCGGGACACGCGCTCAGGCCTGGGCCCGGTTCAGGGGTTTCCAGGGGCACCTCGCGCCAGCGGTCAGGACTGGGCGCGGCCGCTGCGGACCCGTAACACCAGAAGGCCTAGTCCCAGCCAGGACATATTAAGCTCTGGGAGCCCTGGGCCGGGGGAGGTGGGCGGCAGCGGTAAGGGCGTGTGCCGGGGAACAGGGCCCTTTACCTTGCTTCTGCCCCAGAAATGGGGCCCCAGGAGGCGCACAGGCCTTGGAGCAGTGTGGGCCAAAGGTCACCTGCCCCAAAGTGACCTGCGCCCCGCCCCCAGGCCTGCTGGAGCTCTCGCCGGTGGAGCGGGGTGTCGTGAGCATCTTCGGCGTGGCCAGCCGGTTCTTCGTGGCCATGAGCAACAAGGGCAAGCTCTATGGCTCGGTGAGTACCCAGGGGTCCAGCCAGGCACCCAGTGCCAGCAGGATCCTGGGTCGTTGAGGGAGGAGGGCTACTGGGGTACAGGGCTGGCAGTACCACCTCCATGCCCAGGGAAGTGCTCAGAGGCAGGCGCGGTGGCCAGGGGACAGCCCTGACAAAGGGAGCAGCCCCAAGCAGGAACAAGGGGCTCCTGCCATCTCTAGGGGAACATCTCCCAGGCCTGTGAAAGGTGCCCTTGGGAGTCTTGCCAGTGTACCCCAGCAGGCAGGCCTCATCTCTAGGCTGGATGCAGTAGAGGTGAAATTCTCTACTGCTGGGGCCTGGCAGGTGGTGGAGTTTCAGCTGCTGTGGGCTGGCCAGGCCCACTTCTCACCCTGTGGGGGTCTTGCTACCCCAACTACCCAGCACAGACTTTGGGGCAGAGCAGAGGCTGGGACAGGAAGGAGCCCTTGGCCCCCAGGGACCCTTACTCAAGAGGTGGCCCCACCCTAACACTGTCCTCCTTCCCTCCCAGCCTTTCTTCACGGACGAGTGCAAGTTCAAGGAGATACTGCTCCCCAACAACTACAACGCCTACGAGTCCTACCAGTTCCCCAGCATGTTCATCGCCTTGAGTAAGAACGGGAAGACCAAGAAGGGGAACCGAGTGTCCCCCACCATGAAGGTCACCCACTTCCTCCCCAGGCTGTGACCCTTCAGCACCCGGCCTCAGCCTTGAGAGCCCCTGGGAGGGAGCATCAGTTGTCACCTTGGTGCACTTTCTTCAGATGGAGAGTTCAATGCAAGAGTAGGTGTAAGATATTTAAATTAATTATTTAAAGGTGTATATATTGCTACCAAATTATTTATGGGACTGTGGTACTGTTGGGTGTGTTTTGTAATTTTCTGCAAAAAAAAAAAAAAAAAAAAAAAGACGGACAAATGACTTCTGGTGCAACAGTGGAGACTCTTACCATTAAGCTTATTTAACTTGTCACAAAGTTGTCACGAGTGTGCTGCTATTCTGTGTTTTTCAAAATGGTGACAGCAGATCAGATATCAACCCTGCTTTGCACCATCTCCCCGCATTATGGCGTTGAGCATCCTGGTGTGCAGAAAGACCTGGGGCTTGGGCAACCGTAAGGGGTCCACTGAGTCTTGGCTTCTCTGCTAGTATCCTCCAGCATCGCACACCCTTTGTGCCCTGTTGCTATTAATCGGGACATATCGGTTTACTTCGGGTACAGAAAGTGCACTGTCGAAGTCCTCTGCTGCCACTCCGTTTTTAGACCTGCCAAGACTGACCTTTGAACTTTCCTGTAGTCTATCTTCCTCGATCTACCAAATGGGAGAGACCCTTAGACAACTTTATAAACTCCTGTTTTCCTTTTTTGGATCAGCCACAGCCCATGGTGCTGTCGCCGCCCTTGGGGAAAAGACAAAGCTATTTTGTAAATTCAACAGAGGAACTGGTGTCCTGCTGGAAGGCTGGAAATGGACAGGATGGTGTATTTGCAACCAGTCCCTAGTGATGGCATATCATTTATGATAGCAGATACGTCTGATAATGAAATCAAAAATACTTTTAAGAAACAAAAGCAGGCTTCTCAGTGCTGGGGGAGCTTTGTGCTAGAACTAGCTATTATTTTTAGGTGAAATGTTCCGTCATTGTGCAAAACGCTTGCTGCAGTGTCTGTGTGGAGGACCATGCTGCTTTCGGATGCATTCCCTGCTTAAGCGCATTGAACATCTACCTCACAAGCTCTTAAGCCACTGGCCAAATCTGCAGAAAACTCAGACCGGGAGCCGGAGTTTGCTATTCCATATGTAGCCAAAAAGGGTTGCAGATAGCGTCGGTGCGTCCCATTCAAACCTTGTCACGTTTGAGCTATCTTTACCCCGTGATTTACTTTTAGTAAGGGTGATCATGGTGAAAATATTTGCAGACAGCTGTTGAGTGCACTATATGGTCACCAAGTAACCTTATATTTTTCTTTATATATTTTACAAATGTAACCCCTGTCGTTGAAGCAAAGATGGAAGAGGCAGGGTCGGCGATGTTTAAAAAAAGTTCCGAGGTGATGGCAAACATTTAATTTTAATGAATGACTTTTTAGAGTTTATACAAAATGACCTTAGCTTGCTACCAGAAATGCTCGGAATGTTTCGTCAAGACTTTAATACTCTCCTAGGATGTTTCTGAACTGTCTCCCGAATTAACTTTATGGGAGTCTACAGACAGCAAGACTGGAAAATCTGATTGGAGTTTTTGTCTTTCACATTCCTTTTGAACACTCTTTGTTCGAATGCAAATCATTTACTTAAAATACTATTCTTAAACCAAGGCCTTAAAGAAAGAAGCCACTTGTGAAGCCACTAGACAGGACCACACATCTTCAATTATACGATGTAATACATTTTAAAACATTTTAAACCACGCCCTAGACTCCAGGAGTGTTGAGGAAAAGATGATGCTCAGAGGTCTCCATGCTGTTTTGGGGAGAAGGGGATGGGAGGGGGGATAACTTGTGGGCTTTTTTGTATTGAATGAATTCACGTAGTAACAAGCCATGATCATCTAAGTGCATTCAATTATTATGAGATGTCTTATCTTAGAGCCCAAGCAAACTGTCAGGAGGTAAGATGTCTTAGGTGCAGAATTAAGTGTGTGTATATATATTATATATATACACTCATATACTTGAGCAAGTCATGTGAGGTGCACATGGGGGTATACGTGTACCCTGGAAATATTGTAACATTTTCATATTGCTGTGATGGGGATTTGAGGTTTCTGTATTTACCACTGTTTCAGAACCTGTCTGTAGTTTTATACAGGTGCCAGTCCATATTGTGATGTATGTGCTATGCACATTGAGATGGCGAATGAAATGATAAACATTTATCATTTATAAAAGTTACCCCACTGGACTTGATGTAAATAATCAGGAAAGGGATGAAAGACGATTAAAATATGCCTCAAAATGACAAATTCTGGTTCTCGCTCCCTGCCTTCTTTCCAGGGGTCTATTTGAGACCCGAGCCTCACATTGCTGGAGGGTTGGGGGTGAGGGCAAGGGAGATGAATTTTAGCCAGCTGTGTCCACACAAATGTAGCCTTGAAAACAGGAGCCTGAGGGGTGTGAGTGTCGCCAAGGTTTGCCATGACTCTGAATCTTGCAGTTTATTCTCATTCTCCCAGTGGGACTAATTCACGCCAACCGCACCCCGTGACTGACCGCAGCGCTGGGTCTAGCCTGGCACTCTCCAAAGCAATTTGCACTTCTCCAGGGTGGAGACGAAGCCCCAGAGCTGGTCCTCCGAAGACCAACTGGAGAGTGTTTTTCCGGTGCTGGAATTTCTGAAATGAGCATTTATGTCGCAGAAGGCCGCCACAGTGAGCTGGGCCGCCTGTCACAGAGCTCTTGGTCGTCTCCGTCTTCTCCTTTGCCCTAGCAAAGAACGTGGAGTGAGGCTGAGAGGCGTGGCAGTCTTCGCTTACAAAGACTGCAGGACATTTGTAGCTGAACCTCTCTTGTCCATGCCCATCTCAAGACAACAGAAAGTTGGGAACCAGCAGTTAGCGTAATGGCTATGTCGCTGGACTCCCACGTAGTCGACTGCGGTTTGCGTTCTGGACCCGGTGGCTTAAAACTCACGCCGGGTGCGTGTGCGTGCGTGCGTGCCCAAGATCCCGAGAGGAGAATGGAGGAGAAGGGCGTGACCTATGGCCCCTAATAGCAAAAAACCTCTCAAAAAAAAAAAAAAAAAGACAATATAAAGTTTAGGGAGGGAGCCAGCCAGGTGGCATGGTGGTTAGGGCGGCTGGACCCCAAGTGGCTAACTGTGCAGTTTGATTCCTGGATGTCACAGCTTGAAAAGCATGCTGGGTGTATGTGTGTGTGTTGTGTGCATGCATGTGTGTGTGCATGCCCAAAATCCCAAGAGAAGGATGGAGGAGAAGGGATTGCAGTGTGACCACCTTCCCCTGGAGCAGGGGTTGGGGGGTATATCCCCAACCTGATGAGTGCATACACCCTGTAGCAAAAAAAAAAAAAAGTCTAGGAAGATAATAACTGACAGCTTCTGAGTTCTGAAGCTTTGAAGCTTTGGGGTCCCGTTGGTGGCAATGACATGGGGCTCTGAGGGGATTTTTCACTGAGGTATGGCCATGATGCCCAAGACCAGATGGCAACTTTGGATCCACAGCCTCTGGTGCCATTCGGCATAGTTCCCACTATGGCGTGCCATTTGCTCTGCTCTGGGGTTATCTGTGCACAGAATCCAACATCAGTTTGTTGACAGAACCCTCTATTCCAACAGAAGATTGTCCCTCTCCATGTCTGAATCACCTGGTTTGAACTTAGTAACTTCAGAGAGTATTTTTTCAAACTCTGAGTAGATGTCACCAATGGGTCTTGAAATTAATATAATGAATCTCAACCAGCTTTCTATAAAATGTAAATGGAATGGGAACATATAAAATAGAAAATACCAGCATGTATTCATTGCAGTAAAGACACTGGTGAGAAAATGTGCTTGCCAGAGAGAGAGCACCCTGATGGGGCTGATCACATTGCAGTCCTTCCTCCGGTGAAGATTTCGGGCATTCATTCACACATCCCTGCCATATTTTCCAAGCTGCCAGGGCTGGGATTTGAACCATGGTTGGCCATGTACTATCGATCTGGTACCCTATGCACAGGGCTTAATCACTGAGCTGGGGCTACCCTGGTTTTCATGTGTAACACTATACATTTACAACCAGTCTTTTCTAGGATGAGATAAAGTGGGTCTCGAAAAAGTCATGATACATTTTTGCATAGAAAAATACATCATGGGGAACCAGCAGTTAGCATAATGGCTATGTCGCTGGACTCCCACATAGTCAACCGCGGTTCGTGTCCCGGACCCGGTGGCTTAAAACTCACGCCAGGTGCATGTGCGTGCGTGCCCAAGATCCCGAGAGGAGAATGGAGGAGAAGGGATTGCGGCGTGACCATCCCCCCGGGGGGTGATTTCTCGCTTTCTGTCTCTATGTCTCTGTCTGTCTGGTGAGCGCACGTGCCCTATAGCGAAAAACCTCTCCAAAAAAAAATACATCATGACTTTTCTGAGGACCCAGTAGACTGCATGGTGGATCACATTAAAAAACAAACAAACAACAAAAACTAATACAGGGACCAGCAGATGGTGTAATGGTTATGTTACTGGACTCCTATGTAGTCGACTATGGTTCGAGTCCTGGACTGGCAGCTTAAAACTCATGCCAGTCGTGGGAACCAGCAGTTAGCGTAATGGCTATGTCGCTGGACTCCCACATAGTCAACCGCGGTTCGTGTCCCGGACCCGGTGGCTTAAAACTCACGCCGGGCACGTGTGCGTGCGTGCCCAAGATCCCGAGAGGAGAATGGAGGAGAAGGGATTGCGGCGTGACCATCCCCCCGGGGGGTGATTTCTCGCTTTCTGTCTCTATGTCTCTCTCTGTCTGTCTGGCGAGCGCACGCGCCCTACAATGAAAATCTCTCAAAAAAAAAAAACAAAAAAACTCATGCCAGTCGTGTGTACATGCGTGCCCAAGATCCTGAGAGGAGAATGGAGGAGAACGGATTGTGGTGTGGCCACTTTCTGTCTGTCTCTGCCTCTCTGGTGAGTGCATATGCCTTATAGAAAAAAATTCTCTCAAAAAAAAGAAAAAAAAAAAAAACTAATACTGACCCAATATGCCAGAATCTGGGCCTCTCCTCGTCCCACAAAGTATATCCAATTTCTTAACCAAAAGTCTCAGAAAGGTAACAAGGTTGGGGGATCTTTAATGGCACCTATTTTACTCTCACTCTTCACTCTTTTCTTCATGAAGCCTACGAGCTCAGCATGACAAAGAAACACCTGGGTGTTGTGATGGTCTGAATTGTCTTTTGCCCAAAAGAGAAGTTGGAGTCCTAACCCCCTGACTTCAGCATGTGACCTGATTTGGAGTCAGGCTCTATAGAGAGCTAATTGTGTTAAAATGAGACCCTAATTCATCATCACTGGTGTCCTTATATAAAGAAGGCCAGATTAAAGAGACAGCGACACAGGCAGGGTGCCAGCGAGGAGGAAGGCAAGGAGCAGGGTGATGCTTCCACCAGCCAGGGGT